CAAATTTGCAAAAAAAAAGTTTCAAATTCACAAAATTACAGTTTCTTAAAATACAGAGAAGTAAAAACGACAAGATGAACACGTGATTGCCATTCTGATTATCTAAAACCAACAAATGTCATTATGACAAGAAGCTTACAAACTGAAAAATTAAAAATTTTTCTACCGAAAATTTTAGCAACTTAAAATTAACATCGATTCCTTTAGTAATTTTTTAAAATTGCGAATTTTTTTTAAAGTAATAAAAACAAAATAACATGTTAACTTCGCTTCCACCGACGCTATATTACCCTTCACAATTACAAAGGCTCCCTACAAAAACTTGATTGCGATCTTTCAACTTGTATGGCAGCTATATGCTATAGTGATCTGATCCAAAAAAAAAAATTCGGAGATTACTTTGATGCCTTAGAAAATAACTCATGCCAAATTTCGTGAAGATATTACGTCAAATAAAAAAGTTTCCCATACAAGTACTTGATTCCGTTTGTTCAGTTTGTATGGCAGCCATATGCTATGGTGGTCCGATATCGGCTGTTCCGACAAATGAGCAGCTTCTTAATGAGAAAAGGACAGTTGCAAAATTTTAGATCGATAGCTTAAAAACTGAAGGACTTGTTTGCATATATACAGACAGACGGGCATGACTAAATCAACTCAGCTCATTTATGTATATATTTTACCCTGAACAGGGTATAATTAAATTTGTTTATTTTTTCTCATTCCAAACTTCAAGCAAATCGGTGGAACAGAACTTGAGTTATTTTGACAAACGCTTTGAAAACAGTTTTTTCAAGAAAATATTGTTTAGGATTCCTCCAGCACTCTATTGATAGATTTATTCTAACTAAACCGGCCGAGTCGTGCTTAATATACCTGTTTTTTTTAAACTACTATCAATTTCCTTTAAGAATATATTCATGAATACTTAAACTATGGAAATATGAAAAAAATTCGAGTCCGATTTTTTACTAGTGTGAAATTTTTAAGAAATTTATTTTTTCATTTATTGACCATATGCAACATAATATTGTACAAATAAAATATGAAAAAATATAGTAAAAATTTAATGCGAGTTGAAATATTTTTCAAACCCGCTACTTTCCATTCCATTAAACAGTCGTAAGCCCCGTATTTCGTTAGCGAAACGCGGTAATTACGAACACGGCGAATTGGCAGTATTTTTCGTTTGTACAGCATTTAAATTGGCATACAAAAGAAGACAACAACTCAGCGCTGCATACAAAACTACAATTTAATTTCGCATTTCAATTAGTTTATTATTCCACGCTGTCCCTTAAGTTATTTCAACGTATTTGCAATTTGCATATTTCACCATGAGCAACAGCAGGACAACGCAACAGTGCAAGTCAACAACTTTGCAGCCTTCACCTATGCAGCCTTCAACTTTTCAAGCATCGGTTCGCTCGGTGAAAAATATAGCAAGCAACAACGATTTACACAGTCCTTACGTTAATCGAGCGATTTTTTTAATTAATCGCAATAAATTGAATTTTATATACGAAATTATCATTCGGCAGAGCGGCAGCCAATCAAGCGCGCCGAGTGTAGGAGGCAATTAATACCAGGAGAGAAATATATAGAGGCAAAAGGTATGAACCCATATACATATAGAAGTTTGGAAACAGTTGTAATCGGTTTGCGAAAAGTCAAATTATCATTCAAAAAGGTTGTGGGAATAGTTTAAATTTACGGCCTCCGAAATTAAACCGATTCTACGATCATAACAAACATTTAGCGTGAAATACCTATAATACATATATAAATATAATATTAATATCTGTTGAAAATTAAAAAATGTAATAAAATTGGTAAGAAGAAATTTACAACATGTGTAAAAACAACAAAGTAAACAATAATAACTACAAGCGACTGAAATTTATAATGCGCACCCGCGCAGACGCACAGTCCGCTACTCACATATAGAGAACATACAAAGCATATAGTAGCTACATATATAACCATACAGCCTTCAACCGCTACAGAAATCCGCGGATATCCTTGAAATAGTGCAATGGCCGTAGATAGGCAATGCGCACGGTCAGATTCCTTTGACGCCCCACAACAATGCGAAACTGGCCGCTTATTCGCCGCTACTCCACCTCCCGCCAATGCAAGCAGCAAGGTAAATACGGTGATGGAGGCTTGAGATAAAAATCAACGAATCGTATTGAAGCGGCTGAAACAATTTGCGATTAAAATAAATAACAGCAACAACAACACACAACAACAAAATAAAGAAAATATTGTTATATATATGTGTGTGTGTGTGTGTGTGTTTCGGAAGGAGGAGAAAGCAACAACAATTCGAAACAGATAAAATTGGCAACAAAAGTGTGTGTGTGTGTGTGTATTTGTTTATGCAGATATAGCTACATACACCTATATATATATATATGCATTGTAGTGTATATAACAATGTGTATAATGCTTTATGCAAACAAAGTAAAGCAACGCGAAAAACGCTGAACAGGAGTACAACACTCGTATGGCAACAAAACTCGATTAACTCTTGCGTCGCATTAATTTTAATTCGACAGCCGCACCGAAACGCGACAGGCCGTGCTGAATTCAACCGTGTTGCCGCCGCCGCCGCCGCTTAATATTCTTTAGTTGCCATTGTTTTGTTTGCGCCACATAGCCCGAAGTTGCTGCCATTTTAGCTATAGAGAAACTGATTTTAAATTAACTTTTATTTTTTTGTTTTTTTCTTTATTATTTATTATTATTTTTTTTTTCATTCTTTTGTTACCATTCTATCTTTTAATTGCCTGCTTTGTGGCGCAGTATTTTTTTTTTTTTTGTTTTTTGAACTCCAATGTCTAGCGAAAAGTGTATCAAAGGGATTCTTTGGATTTTGAATACTTCCTGCAATTATCTCCATATTCTATATTGAATTGTGCGAATTTCTTGATGAATTAAACAATTTAAAACCACTTTGAATTTTTTTTTCGTTAGCAAATCTATAATTAATTTTGGTTTGACTTAGATATACACAAACTTCAAAAATTTTTAAATTGAAAAATGAGTTTAAAAAAAAATTTTTCAATACCAAAAAAAATCTTTTTCGTAGGAAAATATATATTTAATTTTGGGTTGGCTTAGGTATATAAAAAATTTGAACAAAAAAAAATTAGTTTTATTCAATACCAAAAATTGCCAATACCTTTTGGACACCGGCAAATTAAGACATAACCTTAGTATAAACCAAATATAAATTCTCTAACAGGTTTTTGTAAAATGTGATTCGACCACTTAAAAAGCTTTCTGAATACCAATCATTGTCTTGTTGCGTTTATGGTGACCTATTCTGTGCCTTCCTTATGTTAGTTTCAGAGAATTTAAGATATCATTTAAACAATTAAAGGTAATTACAAGGCCAGCTAGACGAACAACAAACCGTGCTTATTTAATTACATAATGAAACAGTGGCTGCTAGGAAAGTGGAATGTAAGCAGACACACACCGATGCTATAATACGCTTTATAGATGTATTTCTCAAACAATAGCATAAAAGGGTGTGAAAAGATCTTTATCTTGATTGTGGTCGGTCAGTTTAAGGCAGCTAAACGCCATAGTGGTCTGCTAACGGCGGTTTCGACAAATGAGCAGCTTCTTATGGAGAAGTGGACGTGCTTAAAATTTCAGATCGATATCTCAAAAACTGAGGGACTTCTCTTCGTCGTTTTCTTCTGGGTATTACAAACGTCGTGGCAAACTTAATATACGCTATACAGGGTATAATTATATTTTTTTAATAACAGCCTAGAGACCAACCAGAGCTCCCTTTAAATAAAGTTTCTCCTACAACAATTAGTTAATTGATTCAATTTAGGTATTGCCTGCAATGCGTTATTATACATTTAACTTAATTTAAGCTTCATTCATTGCTTTTATTTAATTTATCCTTCCAGAAAATCTCATTACTGATTTCAAAAACAAATAAATAAACAATATTGCGTTACCCAAAAAATGCTTTACACATTTTTCTTTTATTTTGGTATTTTTCGCTCTAAAATCAACTAATTAAAATAGCGCTCTTTCTTTTTCTGCCGAACAGACTCATTACCGTTTTATTACCTCATTGCTTGAATGCATTTCATATGAAATTTTCGAAATCTGATTTTCTTACGCGCTTGCTTTATTTCATCATTACATTTGCCTTTATTTGCTTACTTTGAATTTGTCTGCGCTTTTATTATTATTCACCGCATTCATTGCGCATTTCGACTTCTTTACTTTCCTCTAGTCTTTTCTTGGCGCTGTCGGGTATTTTTGTTTTGTTTGCATTATTATTATTTTTTCCTTACTTTGCTTTAGCGCTCTGCTATTCCTTTTTTTATTTAATTTTAGTGTTATGTATTCCATTTTTACCTGCCATTTCCGCTCGCGTTTATTAAACATTTATGAGTTTTAAATGAATTCGTAAAAATGGGCGGCAAAAAGTAAAGCAACACTGGCAACGCTCGAGCCGCACAGTGTTCTTGGCCGGTGATGTGGCGGGTAGCGGTGTTTTGGCAGCAGTAACGAGTACGTAATTTCAAATATATAATTCCAAGCCAGAGCGACAGTGCAAATAAAATATTTTGCTTGCCCAGAAATAGCAGCAAAGATAAATATTCACAGCACAGACTCAGACATACACACAAACTTTTGCATTTATTGATGGCGATAGCGCGCTTGGAATGACGCTGCAAAATAGTTGCACGTCACTGCGCATATAAATTTGTCTTGCGCTTTTATTTCTGGTGTAATTGTGACATTTTGGTATATTTTACTTAAGTCTATACGGATACTTAGATATAAAAATACCTTTTTAAATATATGCGCAATTGATTTGGTAAAATTGCATTTGTAAATATTTAATTACTCTTCTTTTTCTATATTTAAACTTTTTAAAATATTTTCTTTTATATTTTTAAAATAATTTTAATATATAAATATTTTGAACTAATTTATATTTATTATTTTCTTTGCAGGTAAGTTTTTACGAGGTTTCAAGTATGACGTAAAATTACTCTCTTAATATTTGCAGGCGTTTGGTAAGTTGTGTAAATAAAATTTCTGTTGGCTAACGAAATTAAAAAATAGTAGATAAATATATCATATATGATTTCTGGCCTCTATTTTAAAAAGTTACAATTTTTTCCTAGTTTTTGATTCCAAAAATTTTTATGGTTTCAAAAATTCTTATTACGATACCAAGAGACTCAGAGAACAAAACTCAATTTACCCGGCTTTCTAAATATATATTCGTATCTAAATATACCTTGAACATATCCGAATATTTGTATACTCAAGTTCAACTACGAGCCGGACGGGTCCATCCAAACTGGTTGTACTCTCACAACCCTTTTTATGTTCATGTGAAGTTTGATCGCTCCATATGACAATTAGTGTGCTTTTGGCAACTATTTGTTTGCGCAAAAAATTTTCTATGAGAAATTAAAATTTGATTTCAATTAACATTTAATTTTTATAATTTTGGCATCAACTTATTAATCTTTTTTTTTTTTTTTTATTTATTTCCTAAATTTACCCCAAAGTTTTTTAAGTATATTTGCCAATTTCGGTTATCACTTCCGCTTGTTCAAAAAAATTAATTTTCTTGCTTGATTTCTCTCTGACTCATGGCTTTCTGTGTTCATGATTCACACAACTCGGTAATTAATAAACTGGAAGGTAAATACGAAGCACAATTTGGATATTTAATGCTTAAAAAGTGATATATTTAAAAGATTTAAAATTGTCCATAAATATGTTGCAGTAATAAGAAAGACAAAGTAGAGATAAATATGAATTAAAACTCTCTTCGGCGTTCAAATATATATTTTTTTTTATAAAATTTTCTAATTCATGGCGCATTTCGCAATTTGTCAAATTATAGTGAGGGACCTTTAAAAGAATATTATACATCATTTTTTATTAAAATAATTAGCATAAACATAATTTCGAAAAACACATTTCTTTTTGCTTGAATTTAAGGATTATGATAATTTTTACTATTAGTCAAGTCTCATACGTCCCAAATTCACCTAGTGTATTTTTTTGTCTTGAGCTTAAAGATATATCCATTCTAGAAAATTCCTAACTTTTAGATAAATGCACAGAACACATAGCTGTTCCACATTAATATTGTTTCAGCCAATAATTAATGATATTATTAAATATAAGAATAGAATTAATAAAAAAATATCTAAAATTCAAATGTATTCCTAAAAAGAAAATAAAAATTATCCATGGTATAAATATTAAAGAACACTGGGTAAAGCAGAATGGGCTATCCACCTGATCTAAACCATTGTAGTATATTAACAGTTTGTTGCTGAGATGCTAAGAATTTTTTTTCCAGTAATTTATGCTATAGATTTGTAAGTAGAAAAAAATTTGGGACGAACGTAGGATTAAAAAACCCTTCGGTTAAAATATCATGGTGTAGAACAACAAGAGTTTTATATGGAAACCGAACTCTCTCTGATTCTCAATTGTGGTTCTCATTACAAACGAAAACTCTCCCTTCGCATCACTCTAAGAATAGTGAAAAGAAACTAGTAATTTCGCCTTTTGTACTCAAAACAATCAATGTAGCCGAACGCTAACCGAATCTAGCCGAAAACTTTCGCACTTTTCGTAGCTCACGAACTCATGCTCAGCAAATATCATACATTTTTTTCTCACAGCTTCTAGAGCCATGCAACTTTGACTCTTTTACTTTCTAAACATTTGAGGCAACAATCGGGTCTTAAATTTAATGTCCTGCCACCTAATACAGCACAGCCATAAATAATATCATGTTATCACTGAATTTACAGGTCGAACATAAATAATATTAAAAAATGTCTATATTTTTCTCATATTTTTGCATATTTTAATCGAAAGAAATGAGTGGGAAAATTTAATGTAGTCACTTTAGTATCTTATAAATCTAAGTATGTGCAATAAATCTTCATATTTCATGTACCCCCCAAACACCGCCCACTGCACCAACGTAGCGAATAGCTTCCACGAAGCCTGGCAACATAACAGTACATTAGCGGATGGCCCAGATTCGTTGCTCTCAAAACGTGAAACAACCTCGAATGGAGGCCAGTTAACGACAAAAACAAGTAGACGGTGATGAAGAAGAAGAAGAGGCACAACAACAAAAACAACAGCGGCACCTACAATTGAACGGATGCTATAGCTAAATAAGCGCGCGAACGCGCGACTAAATATCGGTACGTGCTATATACAGATATGTGCGACTATATACATATGTGTGTATATGGTTGTATGCATGTAAGTGTCTTCAAGATACGACGCAATCTGCGCGAGAAAGGTGCAATCTCTAACTCAGCCAAGAAATAAACGTGCAAACGTGAGCTGCATTCCGGAGCGTAGCGTGATGCTGGGACAATATTAAGCGGTTTAAAGAGATGTTAGGCGGTGCGGTGCTACGCTGTGCAATGCTATGTACTGCGGTACTATATAATGCGATACACACATATACTCTCAGTGTTCGCATTGCAGCTTGGTTGACTTTTTTCTGCCCCACTTTGAATAATTAACGCAAAGGTAAAGAAGCGAGAGAAATCTGCCAAAGATGCCATTTATGTGTGTATGTTTGTATGTACATGTTACAACTGTTCTAAAATCGAAAGATATGGCAACAACGCCATGCAGCTGTAGCGTAAACAAGAAGCCACCAATTGCCTGCTACCGGATTGAAACTGACTACTGTCCGCCTGCCGACTGGCGATTGGCAACTCGACACAGATAAGGGAAGTCATCGCCTGTTGGTGGCTAAAGTATAACTAAAATACAAATCAAATCAAAAATAGAAATGAAATCAAATTAGATTTGTGTGACATCAAATAATATCAACGCTGCAAATAGATTTAATTAGATTTAATTACTTAAGTGCAAATAAGGTTAATTAACAACAATTAATGCAATTAGAAGCAGGCAACAGTGCTGCTGGTGGCACTTTATGTCACACAAAAAAACAATAACAACTAAAAAGCCGTGGCAAAAATGGCAAGCAAAAATGTGCCAACAGCAACAGCAACAACTTGAGAGTGAACAGATATGAGTTGAAGCAGTGAAGCAGAGCAAATCAAAGTGACAAACCGCTGAAAACTATGAAATAACAAAAAAATATAATGTACACATATGTATATTAGGGTGATAAAAAATAGTGATTTTTTTACGCTTGAAAATTAATTTCTTAGACAATTCTAAGCAAGTCTCTTCAAGTATGAGCTCTTAATTGTAACGGGAAGCTTACAATTACAGTTTTCTATTATCAGATAGGAAAATTCAAATATACGCAAAATTTCAGATCGATATCTCAAAAACTGAAGCATTAGTTCGCGCATATACAGACGATATACAGATAATTTTTCGATTAAATATTCATCATCAAACATCAATGCGCATTATATATAGATATTGTAATAACATACCATTTTTGTAGAAAAGTAAATTTTCTACAAAAATATGAGGTTTCCGATTTATAATGATTTTTCCGAAAATCCGAATTTCTCGAAATAGCAAACTTTAATCGTTAATATCTTTTAAACGGTTACACGATTTTCTGATCTTATCTGATAATATGAAAAAACTATGTAACTGTAAATTGGAGGAGCTTCCCGCTACAATGTAGAGCTCATACTTGGAGAAAATTTCTTTGAGGTGTCCAAGAACCTATTTTTCAGAGTACCAAGCTGAAATAAAAAATTTTCTTTGGCCAACCCTAATATGTACATATATTTTGGTACAAAAGTACTCTTGTTGATGTCGGTTACACTCATTTTACTATGAATTTCTTAGAATTATCAACACTTCGCTAACTCCGCTTAATTTACTCATATCATTTGTATGCTTTCATTTGTATTTAAATTTCATGGTTCAACTTCCTCATTTGCGTTGATATAATAAATTAAACAATATGTGACTAAGCAACACCAGCACCATGTGTGTTATAAAAACAACAACAAGAACAACAACAGCAAAATTGGACATTAATTAATGTGACTACGATGAAGACAAAAGACACAAATCGCCAAAACTGAAATAAATTTCAAAAGCGCGCGTAAACATATACATATTTACATATTTAAAACAAACTAAAGGTGCGTTGAACCTTAATTATGGAAAGTTAACAACAAAAAAGTAAATAATCAAAATTAAAATATAAAAATAACAAAAAAGTAACATAAAAGAAATAAAAAAATTAATGAAATGAAATATTATATATGAATGTGGCAAATAAATTAATTGGGAAAAATGCTGAAGACAAAGTGTCAAATATGCGCGAAGTAGTACGCAAAGAAATGTGTTTGCGCAAAAAGCCATGACTTAAAATAATTATAATTTTTTTGCCACATAATTAGTAGTATTTTTAATGTATAAATCATTAGGAGACTCAAACACTTAGTTACGTAATTTTCAAAGTCTGGCAGCACATTATTACTAAAAAATTTAAATTTTTGTCAGTATGAAAATAATAGATTTTTTTGCATTTTAATTGTTCTAGTGGAATCTGAGCGTTTCAGACTGCTTCTTAATTCAGTCAATTAGCAAACTGCCTTGTTTTTCACCAAAAAAAAAATAGTTCTGTGTAAGTTTAATTGTTCTAAGCCGATATGAGCTTTCTTAATTGAGTTAATTAGCGAAAAGCCTTAATTTTCAAATGAACGCTAATGAAATGGAAATAAAAAATTAAATCCATAAATGAAAGTGGTACACAAGTTCTTAATTGTGTCAATTAGCAAATTGCATTAATCTATAGTAATGCCCAAAAAATAAGAATAATCACTCTAATATTAAATATGAACACATTATAGATTTCGATATTAAACCCAATCTCCAAATTAATTAAAACTGAATTTAAAAAAAAATCGTAGAAAAGAAAAAGGTTCTCAAGAATATCTTCGTCAACTTCGTTAAATTTATAGTAAATCAAAAAGTTATCGCAAAGTAGAAGATATGAAAATAAATTGAATAAGTGTAGCTCATAAAGACCTGGTATCGAGGCAGACCGGCAGTCTGACTTACAGAATGTTCTTT